AAAAATAAAAATAAAAAATAAACTGTTATGACATCGTTAATAACATGACAGTCCATTGCATGAGCCAGGTACTATCAAAGAGCTTTACAAATATTAGCTCATTAATTTCTCTCAAAAGTCCCATATACATGTGTCTTATTTACAAATGACACTCCATCTTACAGATGAAGAGGCTGACACAGACAGATAAGGTAATTTATCCAAGGTTACACAACTAAGTAAGAATTGGAGCCAGGATTTGAACCCAGGCAAGCTGGCTACAAAACCACCGGCTAGGCTTGGCACCTGTGGCTCAAGTGACTAAGGCGCCAGCCACATACACCTGAGCTGGCGGGTTCCAATCCAGCCGGGCCACCAAACAACAATGATGGCTGCAACCAAAAAATAGCCAGGCATTGTGGCAGGTACCTATAGTCCCAGCTACTTGGGAGACAGAGGCAGGAGAATCGCTTGAGCCCAGGAGTTGGAGGTTGCTATGAGCTGTGATGCCACAGCACTCTACCCAGGGTGACAGTTTGAGGCTCTGTCTCAAAACAAAAAGCAAAACAAACAAACAAAAAACCACTGGCTAGGATGGTGAGCTGAGGTTCTCTCCACTGCTGCATTTCCCAGAGGCCTCAGGTGTCTCTGCTGTAGCCTCTGTCACCCTGTGACCCATCTCTACTAAAAATAGGAAAACTAGCTGGGTGTTGTGGCAGGGGCCTGTAGTCCCAGCTACTCGGGAGTTTGAGGCAAGAGAATCGCTGTACACATTCTAGTACAATGACGCCAGGGCACTGGCACAATGACGCCAGGGCACTCTACCCAGGGTGACAGAGTGAGGCTCTGTCTCAAAAGGAAAAAAAAATTTTTGCATATAACAATGTAAGTTTTTAACCAATCTTTGAAATTTTTGAGCTATTAGTTGTTGATTCACTTCTGGTTTTTTTTTGGTGACAGAGTCTCATTTTGTCACCCTCAGTAGAGTGCTGTGGCATCAGAGCTCACGGCAACTTCAAATTCCTGGGTTCAAGCAATTCTCTTGCCTCAGCCTCCCAAGTAGCTTGTTCGTTTACTTTTGAACTCCATTTAATTTATTATTATTATTTTTTTGCAGTTGTCATTGTTGTTTAGCTGGCCCAGGCCAGATGCACACTGCCAGCCTTGGTGCATGTGGGTGGCGTCCAACCACTGGCTATGGGCGCTGAGCCCTCCATTTAATTTTTCTATCTCTCCCCTTCCCTTCTCAGAATTAATCATTCTACAGATGTCTAAGGCTCTATTAATTTTCAATATTTCTTTACTCTCTTCAGATAATTGGAGAATTTATATTGCTTTGCCTTCTGTTTTTGTAAATAGGTCCAAAATGTTTTATTTTCATTAATGTACATAGCTATGATTTAATACAAATTTTTAAAAAAATGGCTTGGCGCCTCTGGCTCAAGTGGCTAAGGCCATACATACACCTAAGGTGGCAGGTTCGAATCCAGCCCAGGCCCACCAAACAATGATGGCTGCAACCCAAAAAAAAATAGCCAAGCGTTGTTGCGGGCGCCTGTGGTCCCAGCTACTTGGGAGGCAGAGGCAGGAGGCTCGCTTGAGCCCAGGAGTTGGAGGTTGTTGTGAGCTATGAAGCCACGGCACTCTGCCCAAGGGGAGAGCTTGAGGCTCTGTCTCAAAAAAAAAAAAAAAAAAATTAAAAAAAATGTTTTGTTTTCATTTGATTACCTTTTCCTTTGGTTCTTTTTTATAAACTTCATTTCCCTATTTCAGTTCCAAACTTGTCATGGAGGATATTTTCTTTTCCTGCTTTCAACTTTTTGTCTTCTATTTACAACATGCTGGACATCTGAGTATAACTTCTACTTCTTGCTTTTTATCTTGTGTATGAATTATATTTTCATGTTTTTTTCACATACTTCATGAGTTTGAAAATTGTGTACTAGAACCTATAGATGATAGTTACAGAGGGAGAAAAACTCACTGGCAACTCCTGAAAAACACGACCCTAAGCTGTTGCTCCAGTGTTTCTAACATTACAGCATAAGTATTTCCTTACATTAAGTGAAAAGGGTTGGATCCAGAAAAAATAATCTTATATGAGTAAAGGAAATTGAGAAAAAAGACTGGAAAACAATACAGAAATGTCAGTAGTTTCTAAGTGACAGAATTATGAGCAATCTTTTTTTCCTTCCATCCATTTTATGAATAATGAACAATATTACTTTGGTAACCCATAAAAATATGTATGTAGTAACTAGTACAAAAAGGAAACCCAAAAGAGAAAAAAAAACACAAAAATAACATTTATTTTTAATGTTGCAGTTGTAGATTAAGTCTTCAGTATCAATGAAAATATCTGTACAATAAATAGTAATGTAAGTGCAGGGTCCACAATGCTCCTGAAATTTCATATTCTTCCCCTACACTGGCTTCTTTGTAATGGCCAGGATAGCACGAGAACTAATCAAATTATTATATGCCTCTACTTTATTGGCATTAGACCACAAGTCACTGATAACCTG